GGAGGAGAACTGGAGGAATGTAACTCCCACGGGTTGAGATAACAGCTCTCCAGTAACTAAGGTATAATACAAACCACTACTGCTACCAATAATAATGATAAGAGGAATAACAAGGGAAAAGGACACAACCGCTCACCACCCGCCGACCGATACCCAGCCCGACCCGAGCAGCGATCTGGGCCTTCCGGGTAACTCCCCCCAGTTTATATACTGGGCATGACGTGCTGTGGTATGGAATACCCCTTTGGCCAGTTTGGGTCAGGTGTCCTGTCTCTGCTTCCTCCTGGCTTCCCCTCCTCCCTGGCAGAGCATGAGACTGAGAAAGTCCTTGGTCAGAGTAAACATTACTTAGCAACAACTAAAAACATCGGTGTTATCAGCATTGTTCCCAGGCTGAAAGTCGAAACCACAGCACTGCACCAGCTACTAAGAAGGAGAAAAAATGACTGCTGTAGCTGAACCCACGACATGTATAAAAGGGTTTTTAATTAAAGGCAGAATAATTTGAAAGTACTTTAAGTACAAACTGATTATCTTATTTTTTGGAGGTTTTTTCGCAGTAATTCAAATTTGCTAGAAAGACTTTTTGCTCTCTGAAGTTTACGTATTCAATAGATAAATTCTGTTCTTCAAGAAAAATTGTAAGGAGACAATAGAGAGAGAGAACTTGTACTTGATCCATTCCTAAACTTGTACCGGATATACACAAAGGTTGTAGTGTATGACAGATCTGCTACATAAGTATTGTGCTTCTCTAACACAACCAGACCTTTTCTCAGTCTGCCTTATGGCCCTCTCTAAAACATCAGTGGACTTAACAGGGAAGCTCAGGAGTACCCCAGTAAAGTTCAAGGTTAGAAGAAGCCAGTTATAGTGATTTAGTCTGTAAAACAACTGCTACAGAATTACCTCTGATTCCGATGTTGAATCATTGCTGTGGTAGCTCTGTATCATCTTACTATAGCTTATCCATGTGACCACTCTACTGATAGAAGGTCATCATATTTAATGGTGAGGGAGTTGAGGAACAAAGCAAAATGTAATGTATTAATGTTTTCATCTACATTGTCTGTATCTACCCTCCCCATCCAGCTGGCCTCTGACTGACTGAATGATTGTTGTCTGATTGTTACTAGGATCTCTAAGGGTGGAGCTCTCTGAGCAAAAGACATTGTGCACTAACCTCAGGAAACAAATAGAAGAACTCCAAATGGAACTGAGGAGTGTGAGGACACTGAAGAAACAACAGGCAAGAATCCAGTTCCTACTTCATTGCCATGTTGTGTTTTGTGAAAGTAGTGGTGTCAAACTTCTCTCTTCAGAAATAATAAAAGAAATTGAATGGGTTTCCTTCTCTTATATCCCACTTCAAGATTGTTCATCAGCTTTTCCCTATGGCCAGGCTTTTTTCCAATTTAAAATCAGAATCTACAATGTAAGTAAATGTTACATATGATTTTACAATGAAATTTTGTATTTAGTAAAATATGTTCAAGAAGTTTTGATCACAGATTTTGTCTTGCATATAGAATTGCACATAGAATTGAAAACTCAGTTCACAAAAATTCAGTGCACACAATTCCTGTGAGATCATCACGTTAAATAATCAGGCTGTGAATAACTAAATTTGGCCTTTTTCTTAGGAAGGAAGTAGCCAGAGCCAGATCAGATCTCTCCATGAGGAACTGGAAAAATGTCAGAGGGAAATTTCTGAACTCAAGAAAGAGAATTTACTTTTGAAGGACACAATGGAGCTACTCAGTGCTGAGTTGAAGTCGCAGAAGCAAGAAGCTGCACAGCTTCAGGATAGAGAGAGACAGCACAGAAGGTTTGCTTTAAATTCACTCTTCACGATGCTATCTAGAGATTCAATAATGATGCCAGTGTCAGAGGTGTTCTAAATGTGATGAGTGTCAGAATCCTTTCCAAAGTGCTAATTATAGAGGTCAGGAATTCTGTAAAAGCAGTAATTCATTTCACACTTCCTTCCAGCCATAATAAAGGCATTGGAACTAATTGTTCATTATGTGTCACAGAGAAATACGTCCAGTGTAGCCCCTCAAGAGTGACCTGAGAAAATGTGTGTAACGTCAGCCTTTGAAAGGCACTGGAAGACATAAAAAATCCCAAACTCACCCAAGAGCTACTATAAAAATATGGAAGTCTCTGAGAATAAAGATCAAATTTTTGCATATACTCGCTGTAGCTGAAACCAATGGGTAGTTAACTCTAGAGGGAACACTTGAGAGTACCATCTGTAGTCTGCAAGACTGCTTCTGTGGAGTAAGGGGAGAGATAACAACTCTGACAGTGCCTCTGGATTGGTGGAAGCCTGGAGCTGCAAAATGGTGTCAGGGCACAGGGAGGGGGAGCTGACATGTAGTCTTTACTGCCTTGTAGAAGGTGGAGTGCATCCTCCTAGTGTAGCCACAGACTCAGAGCCTGTGTTGCATTGTGCAGTAATAGCAGTCTTCCCATTTGCCTACTTAAAAAGTGCAGGACTTAACTTTTACATGGGGGACAAGGCTGGCTTCACTGTCCAGTGCATATGTATGGCTGCTGGACCCTTTGGAATTTCTTTATTATCATACTTAACACATTCTCTTTGCAGAGAGATTAAGAGATCTGGTGAATGGCTTATCTTTTAGTCCATTTCTGCAGTGGTGTAGAATGTATGACACTAACTACTCAAGCTGTATGTATAAAAGTATTTCTGAAGAGTATACCCTTAAAGGAATCTTTAAAATGATGTCCTATATAGTCAGAAGAAAAGCACTCAAGGGATTGAGTGTCTCTTGGCAGACTGTCAGAGTGGTCAGAGTAATTCCATTGCTGTCTAGCAGTCAGCAGATATTTAAAGAATGAGAAAGACATGAGAAAGATTTTTTTTTTTCCTTTGCACTCTTTGGAGAGTTACTTGAAAGTGTCTTTCATTTCAAGCTTTTGAAGCAAGATCAACAGAAAGAATTGCAAACCAGAGAGTTTCATCAGTGCCCTCCAGCTACCTTAAAGGAATTTAGAGCTTCTGTTCATGAAGAGAAGAATTATTCACGTGTCAGTGATGAGGTCTAAAAGGCCTCAAACGCTAAAGCTGCTGGGCTGGAGGATAATCTTTACAGGGTATAAATGATGTAACTCTACTACAGTAAGCATTGGAGAAGGAAGCATTAATGGAAATTATATAAGGTGAAATCCTTCAAATAACAGGAGGCAGAAACAAAGAGCTGGAATGGGCCTAGGCATCTGCTGCAGGCTGCTCTGAAATTAACCCGTGGAAGACCTGTAACATTAACTTGCAGCTCTTGTTTTGCTTCTGCAGGACCAATAATTTGTGTAGGGGAATAGTTAAATTGGTGAGTGCATATAAATAACAGCTTTTTTACTATTACTTTAACCAACAGTGACCTTGTCTTATGCTGGTTGTTTCTGATCTGAAAGCTGAGAGTGGCTTGTTATGTGCATGTGCCGAATTTTTATAACCGATTATTTAAAATCCCTATTCCTACAGTTCCTGAGTAAGTGAAACCAGTAATCGGGGGAAGTAATGACTCCCATTTCCATTCTCTTGCATTGTGTGAATTCCGCCTCCAGTACAGAAACCTTTTACAAGAATTAGTATGCGAGCAGACAAAGGGGATTTTTTTATGGGAAAAGAGGACAAGTCCCAAAATGGCTATTCTAAAGGAGAGCTTTTATTCTACTCCTGAAGATGTATTTCAGGGATTCTGCTCCCATTTATTCTTACTCTCCTGCTTCTTATTTTGTGCCAAGTGCTAAATCAATTACTTTGATTGCTGTGCCCTAATTTCAAAAGCAGAAACCTTTCATGGGCTTTTTGGCCTTTCCTGAAGCATGAAAGGGGCTTAGAAATACATGAAAATAAAAAGGTAAATTGAATATCTTTTCGGAAAAATACAGTTATTAACCTGCTGAGTTTGACATCTCTATTTTTATAAGTAAGCAACAGAACATGGGCTTTTCATTGAAACAATGAAAATGTTTCTCCAGGGTTTAACAAAACGTTAGCAAACAAAAGGCAGGAAGCTAACAATGATCTTTCAATAGGTGTCTGTTGATTTTAGGGTGGGTAGGAGAAAGCAGTGTTATGGCTAGGTTTGAAAAAATGTTAAGCATTTTTTAGTTTTCAGTTGATGGTGTTAGTTAAATAGCAGTGTCTTTCAAAATATACCGTTATAACATTTCTTACCTTCACTTTAAAAAAAATACAATATTTTTAGGATGGTGGTAGGCAGTATTAAATGTTTCTGGTGCCACCATGTGATGAAACACATCATCAAAGCCTCAGGTTAAAATCCCAGAGGTTTCAAAATAATTTTGCTTAATACAAGTGAGTTCCTATGGTACTTCGCTGTCATGTTTGACCATTAAGACTGATGTGCAAATGAACCATAGAGAGAATATCAATAGCATCATTGTATAGAATAGACCCTCAGTTTCCTGAAGGCTGAAGGTCAACTACTTCTCCAAATGATTTTCCTCTTCCTCAGTGTTAGTGTGGTTCTGCTTCAGATTGCAACTGAAGTGTCAAGGTCAAATCAGTAAGCAGAAGCCCAGAGCTGTGCCCAGATAACTACCTCTGTAGTCAATGAAAGACCTCAAAACTGCATGCTTAATGAGAATAAACTAGTACTGAAACGTGAGAATTCAGACATAATTTAATACCAATGAAAGGCTACTGGTAGAAGACCTCAATATCAAGCATAAAAAAGAACTGGACATACTGAAACAAGATCACCGGAAGGAAATTGAAAGCATATTATCTGATTTCAGCAGCGCTCAGGCACATCTCCAAGCAAACATTTTCTCCTTAGAAACTGAGTAAGTCATTTGAATAAACTCTGGCTCATACTGGTAATGAGTTCTGTTTGAAATTATTATTCTTAGTATGTATATTTTTTTTATTACTCATAGGTAGAATATTATAAGTACTGAAATAGAAGTGTATAGGTATTTCCTTTGCAAGCACAAAACCCCCCAAATATATTGTGATAAACTCTGGATATAGTTTAATGTAAAGCAGTATAAATAAAGTTTTACAATGCTAAATTAAAACCTGTACGTAGAATCTTGCCATTTCATGAAGTGTAAAATCATCTTTGTCACAGATGATACCAGAGGCTTTGGTTCATTTCATTCAGCAGAGCAGCATCTTTGAAGTTAAGCTCTTGCTCATTCTCACTCCCTTGCAAATTTCCCAGGACAGCCCCCAGAAGCTCATGTAAATAAATGCACTTTGCAGCCCCCTGTGAAGTTCAGTAGTCCCATGCTGCTTCAGACTGTACAGGAGAGGCCGCTCAGAAATAATCCCTGTTATTATTATTAATCCCTTGTCCTTTTCTCTTACCACAACTGTACAGCATAGGTCCAGAATAGAGACCTATGCATTTAAGCAGGTTGCAGAACATTCAGATGTTAAGATTTACCTTTTTATCTGAACTCTGAGATACACTAACTAAAGAGTATAAGACTGGGGGGTGTCCTCTCAAAAATGTTTACCCTCACCAAAAAAACTGCACTAAATGGTTGTCTGTATTCTGTAATATACTCCTCAGTATGGCAGGGGGAAAAAAGTGATAAAACAGTGACTTGTTTTCCCATGAGTCCATCAAATGTGTTTCTACACTATGTCTAAAAAGGTGTAAGTTCTAGCTTGAATCTTTTCCTCTTATGAAGGCATTTATAGAGCTGAACTCACAGTACAGGTTTTGGCTTAGAGAGTTCATTAACACAGCATGTATATCCAAACCTCTCTTTTAGTGAAGTTCCAGGAATTGAGTATTTATGAGGCCTTTATCAAATATGGTTGGAATTAGCCTGTGGATTCTAAAGTTATTGGGTCAGAAAAGAGGACAAACAGATGAATACAGACATGCATAGATACTGTTGCACAAATTTGTTTCTTTAAGAAATTAAACCAGCAATGGGATGTACAAGCTTGTTTGTTAGTATTTTCCACCAGGGGCTGGACTTCACACACTTACACGTGTTGTGGGTTGCCACATGTGGTGGCAGTTTATTTTGGAACTCCGCAATATTCTATACTTACATGTAATCCGTGTATAGATACCCATTTTTTAAAAATGCTGTTTTATCAGAAAGGCCTGATTATGTGCCTGTGTTTTAGGCTTGGAATTTAGGGCAGAGTACAGCCCAAGTATCTCTTGAAGCTGGGCTGAGGAAGTTTTTTCTGGCCTGCATTTTCTTTGGTACAGACTTAAAGAATTAGAAGAAAACTCAAGAAAATGGGAGTCCAGATCAGAAGATGCACACCTTATAAGCTGTCTGCAAGACAAATTAAGTGAGAAAGAAGAGATTATCAAGCAGCTGTCGGTAAGATTTCCTTTTCTATGTACATCCCTGTTTTGGAATCTGTTGGAAGGCTCTATTCAGTGTTTCATACACTGCTTCAGGCTCATACTTTCTTTCTGTTCTGGAATACTTTGACAAATACATGTTTCCATTCCAACTTCCAACAAATGGATGTTTCCATACACATAACTTTCTCTTTCCTCAGGAAGGAGGAAAATGTCAGCATTCACTTTTAGCCAACAATGAATCTTACAGGAATCGATCATTTTCTTTCAACCCCAATACAGGATGCTCGACTCCTTCCATGAAGGTAAGATGGGCAATGCAATTAAAATTGCAAATCATGATGTCTTATTGTTACATAAATCCTACAGATAATCAAGCTAATAAAGGTCCTATTAATTTTTTACAGTAATGTTATTCAGTAGAATTCTTTCCAGTAAGCCAGCAGGTGCTGAATATAACATAAATTCAGTAGAAGTATATATGCACAAGGTCTTTAAGCAAATATAAACCAGCAGAACTCCAAGGCCATCAGTCTTCCACTGGGATAAGCACAGTCATTGCTTGCAGCTTTGGGAGCTGCTATTTTGGATATTGCATGTATCAAGGAAAATTATGAATTGTGTTTCGGCTGCCCAGGATTTGCCCTTTGTCATTCCAGTCCCTCTTACGACACCATCTATAAATAGTCATGGAAAGAAGGTAGGTCAAGTTGGTGGAAAGCACCTAACTGAGCTCTGCAGAGCTACCTAAACCATCAAGTACACAAGTTGTTTTAATTAGACTACCTAATCTATGGATCCTCAGAGCATGCCCTGAGAATTTATTTTAAATGCCTACAGAAAAACATGGGAATATTCACTTTTGGGTGCTCTTCTCAAGGAATCTGGGAATGAGGTATTGTTGAGGTTTTGTAGCATAAAGTGTAAAAAGAAACGTGTGTGTAATGAAGTTTTCTGTCACAATAAAAAACAGAAGAAGAAAATGGCTGAGGCACCCAGTCGTGTTGTCAGTGTGCCGAATTTAGCTTCCTACGCAAAGAACTTTTTGAGCTGTGACTTGAGATCAAAAAGAAGTACTCCTCAAATAACAAAATCTACAAGCTTAGACCGGAGTCCTGGCTGCCTCAGGGTGGGCTCTCCATCAGCACAGTCATCAGACAGCAGTGCTGCCACAAGGTATTTGTCCATTTCGCAGTGACTTTTAAGATGATAAATGCATTTCATGTATTCAGAATCTTCTAGGCAATCCAAACACATTAGACATTTGGAAATAACAACAATCTAAGGTTCCCGTCATGCAGTGAACTCCATGTGTTCAGTTCTCTGCAGATGGACCTGGAACTTTGCTGCAGAAGTAGGTTACAATCACTGCCTAGCAAAGCTTATGCTTGTAGCTCCTCCTGGTACAGAAAAAGAGAGGACCAGCATGTATTTAACCAAGAATGTAGCTAGTAGTGAACATGGCTGTTTAAAATTTTCAGGCACGTATCAGTGGATCTGTTAAGGATGTGTCTTCCTTCTTACTTTTCTTTCCTTGCTTTGCACTTGGCAGATGTAGATGTCATGTTTTTATTTTAGGAGATATTTGAATGAATCTAGGCTAATAATTTGGCAAAGGATTTAGAGACTTAAAAATAGATTAGCAGATACTTAACTAAGAGCGTCTTAGTTTGATGGGTTTTCTCTGAAAAGCTTGAATTTTTCTTCAAATTTATGAGATATTATTTAAACCATGTTCAGTGTTTTATAAACATCTCTTCAAGAAATAGTTAAAATGTATGTAGTTAACATCACAGGAAACCCTATCACTACCCTTCAGGACAAAGCCAGCCTTCCCACCTCTCTTTTAGCGGAGATAGTTATCCTGTAAATTGTGTGCTAGAGAGTCCTTTCCTTGAAGGCAGATGGTGCTGACTGCTGCCAAAGACAATAACCCAGGACATGGGCTTGGATCCAGTTTGGCAATTCCTACATCTTAATGATAAAAGCATTCAGTGTCATGCCAGATGACTGCCAAGGCAAATCAGATTTGTATTTTAAAGCGAAACATACAGGGAGGCTGGGGTTAGCTTGGTTGCTACTTCCTTACTCTTAATGAATCACTCATACGTGAAGTCATATTTGTTACTATAAGCTAACCAAAATTAATATAAATGTTAAAAAAGCATCATGAATGCTGAAAAATAAGGGACTATGGAACAAGATTATCGAGGCCAGCTAATATTCAGACCAATCTGTCAGTTACAAATAAAATTTCTATCCAATGTTTTCAATGCATGAGTTGTATTTCTATTTCCAAGAGCGAATTGCAGCTGCTATCATCTGATTTTCAAGACTTCATGTTCTTAAAACATCCTTTTTTTGGTTTTTTGAGCTATCAAGAATTATGTTCAAACATTTCTCCGTAACTGTTCAGCTCTGCTGCATGCTTTCCTTTGTGGTATTACCAGTGATGTTATCCCAGTTACTTGGCTAGCAGAGATCCCACTAAAAATTAAAGCTGGCACCTTTTGGCCTCATCCAGTTTGTTTAAGCACAGATCCATTCATAGGATCCTGAGTTTTTCCAGGAAAAAAACAGTAAATCTTGTTAAGACTGTAAGTAAGCGATGCTAATTGCTTATTTGTTTGCACAGGGCACATGGCAATGAACTACCACAAACCAAAGATGACCAAAACCAAGACCCTCAGCATCAAGAATGGTTTACTAAATATTTTTCCTTTTAAAGCAGACTATTTCAATACTTCTCAGAATTACTAGAAAAGCTGCTCCTGGTTTCTTTTAGGGAATGATGATCCAATATATGGTTTAGGAAAAGAAGAAAAGTAATTTCCAAGTAAATCATTAGGAACAACTGCACTCTTACATCTAATTGCTATGGAGTTACAGGCATGGATTTTGGAAAAACATGATTTTGTAACAACCGTTGTGAAAAAAGAAGAAAAATTAAAATTGTGGATACTGTTATATAAAAAGACTTTTTAATCAAGAGGCTGTGTCACTCCACTGTTAGATTCAATATGCAATTTGGTCTCTGATACATCCTGTCAATATGGCTCCAGCTGAAAAAAGATCTTACTTCTCTAGGTGATTTCTGTAGATTTATACATTTGCTTCATCAGCTGTTTGATTTCTGTATATAACAATGTCATTTTCCAAGTTTTTAATAGGTTTTTATTACACTTATTTTAAGCTGTACAGCATGCGGTATGCCTCTGAGAACAGCATGTTTATAGCAGGCTATAATATATTATTACAGAAATACTTTCAGGTTTGTTTAATACACTGTTTTGTACAGTCGGCATTGCAAAGTTATGTTCCTGTTGCACTTCAATACTTGTATCAGCCTGACAAATTAGGATAATATGTAAGTATGAACATTAAAACTTGCTTGTAAATTGAATTCTGCTTTGCAAAAGAGTGCTATGTTATGCTGAAGTGTGAAAGTGAAATACTCAAGAGTTCCAGATTTATGGGCACTGCATACTTGCACATTTTATCTCAATATTGTTCTTATGCCTGTGGAAATGCAGAGCAGGTAAATGAGTACATTTATCAGATCATCCAGCTAACTCATTACCAGGAGAGAAGAAGAAACGAAGATATTAACCCTTAGGGAGGGAACTGTGCAACCAGCAGCCTGGTGTTTATGATGGGACTGTTCATCATCAACTGCTGTATGATTTGAATCCCCATTTCATTTCAACCAGCAGGGCACAGGTATGTAGCGATAAGTCAAGGGGAAATGGGCTTTAACTAAAACAGGGGAAGTCCAGGTTAGATATAAGGAAGAAGTTCTTTACTGTGAGGGTGGTGAGGCTCTGGAACAGGCTGCCCAAAGTAGTGGTAAATGCTCCATCCCTGGCAGTGTTCAAGGCCAGGTTGGACAGAGCCTTGGGTGACATGTCTAGTGTGAGGTGTCCCTGCCCATGGCAGGGGGGTTGAAACTAGATGATTTTAAGGTCCTTTCCAACCGAAACCATCTATGATTCTATGTAACAAATTTCACATGTGCAAAGAGGGACACCTCCGTCCTAACCTCTTTTTACAGCAGCCAGCAAGCAAGAACTGAACCAGCAGATGTAAGCACTCACTGCAAAACAGCCACTGCACCTCAGTGATGGTGAAAAGGTGCCAGAGGGGCAGAATGCTTCTACAGACCAACGCTTTCATCCCAGTGTCTAGGATTTTTCCCAAGATGAACTGCTTGGTTTGGCATCAGATTTCACAAAAAGGTGCTTTTTATACATGTAATCAAGAAGGGGATAAACCGGTGTACAGTAACACCCAGGAGCGCCTTAGTGTTTCTGAGGATCAGAAACGCACAGGGCTAAGTTGTTTTGCTGGAGTTTTCATCTACTTTGCCCCAAAGGCTTTTAAAGCACACTGGAAAGCTCAGTGCACGATTACCAATTTTCATTTCCAGGGTTACAATTGGTAACTGTCCCCACAAAAAAAGTGACCTTAGAAAGTGGCTTTTCTGGCTGTGTGGATGAATTAAGCTTGTTGCCTAGGAATAGAGAGTCGGGACTCCTTTGCTGTTTCTACCTCCAAAAATCTGGTTTGGGCTACTTTTAGATTACTAAATAGTGCACTGCAGTAAAAGCCAATTATGTAGACTGGACAGCACTGATGACCCAACATCCAAAATGAGTGACCTTTATTTTGGGGGTACGTATTTTGGACCATCTCTACACCAGCTTGACAAGACACACCACCAGTAACGTTGGCCCTGCATTACATACTCCCCTAGGTTGCATCTTGCAGTTCCATTTCATACTCTAAGAACCAAACTTGTATATCCCAAGACCCCTTCCTAATGTGAGCAGAAGTCCAGTAGAGACAGACAATCCACTTCAAAAAAAGTACATTCTTGATCTGACCTAGATACAGACAATCCTAAGGGTGTTTCTACAGTAGTACTTACAGATAATCACTGGATCACAAAACATTTAAATCTTCCAGCAGAACCAGTCATCTTGGCAAGCATTTTTATCACACCAGCAAAGGTGTAGTTAGGGGCCACCCCTCCTAGATGGAAGAGGATGCACTCTAGAAAAGACACTTCTGCCAGAAAGCATCCTGAATAGCAACTCTGCCCATTTTCCACTGAAAGAGAAAACCAATCCATACTTTTTTTTGGGGGGGGGAAAAAAAGATAATTTATTTCACTTAACTGTCTTTTTATATTTTTAGTACAAATTCCATTATACAAAAAGCATACAAAGTAAAAAGAACACTACTGTTTTGCACTGTTGAAAATACTCAGATACGTAAAATGGAAGATCATGTTTGCTTCATTGGAGCAGG